TTTGTGTTAATGCAGGTTATTCAGGTACCTCAAGGAAAATATAAAATCTTACCTACTGAACGGACAAAAGTTAGCCCTTATCCAGTGGCTCTTATCCCAGGCCAGTTTCAAGAGTACTACAAAAGGTATGGTAAAAGTAATGAGATAAGGTTGTGCTGAGAAATCTGCTTTCATTAGTAAAGTATAATTTGTAGAAATTGCAAATGGAACTTGACTTGAAACAAGAATTTAAAGGTATGAAATAGTCATGGTGCACTAGCTTGGCAAACAGAATTTATAAAGAGCATAATACCAGAGTGCTTCTATGCCAGATCAGATGCATGGTCCTGGATCCTTTTTTCAGCAACGGATGACATAAGAACATAAGAGAAGATCTGTTGGATCAGGCCAATGGCCCATACAGTCCTACACTCTGTGGCACACACAGCCCCATAGGTAGACGATATTTGGTAAGGGGGCACTGGGGGTCATGGGATCACCTTTGATGTCACAATAAATAAAATAGGAATAGGAGAGCGCTTTCCTAGCCCCTCCCCATCTGGGCATCTGCAGAGTGCATTCCCTCCCTACTGAACAACTGCTGCTGTCCCCAACCCCATCTTTTTCCAGTGCTTCCCTCCAATGATTCCATGCAGGATGCCAGCAGAAAGCCACATATATACCCTTTGTGGACTCTGGAAAACAGTTGTGCATCACAAATGTGAAAGGGGGGGGAGGAACAAAAGTTAAGAGAGGAAGGCCCAGTAAGAAGAGAGGAAGGCCCATGGATCAGAAGAAAGCTTTCCTCTCAGTGCAAGGTGGGGCTGCACCCAGTAAGTGGCAGTCCTCCCGAAATCAGCGGCTTCCTCGGTCAGCAAGTGCTTTGCACAAGATTCCCGAGGCTTTGTGGAAAATGTGCCCAAGCGCAAGACAGTCTTGGCACCCCATGCATGGACTGGATGAGATCAAAAAGGGCACCTTGCCCTGGCCAACTACACCAAACCACTACACCAAACTACCCACTGTGCCACCGCTCCCCTTGCCCTGGCCGATCCCCCCATTTAACAGAAGAAGCCACCAGACCTTCAGAGCTGGTGGGAGCAGCAGAAAGGCCTGAGCTGAGCACACCAGTAGAAGAGCCAGCGGGGGTGGCCCGCTCTCTGCTACCTCCACATGCGAGCAAGACCAGGGCAGGCCAGCTGGCTCTCTCCTCAGCTGCTCTGTGCATGGCTTGCTCCTGGAAGGGGTGTGGGGACCAAAAGAGGAGCGTGCAGGAATTTGGGGGGCGGCAATGGCGCCCTGTATGCTCCGTGTTAGCTACGGCCTTGGTCACAGTGTCCAAAACCAGGTGCCATCAGTTTAAATGCCTTAAACCTTACAGGCCTTTTTTAGTGCTCTCAATGACCTATTTTATACCTATTTGTACCTTTCCTAACCTGTGGTATACATTTTATCTGAAGGGATTATAGTTTATATCTCCAAGCTTCCCAAAGGCATTTGACCCTCCTTACCTTTTCTTTCAGTTTCTTCTTCCCAAGCCCCCTTATTTGAGAGAAGTTACCCCTTCTAAAGTTAAAAGTGGTTGTGTTGGTCTTTTTGGACAACTCACTATTTACATAAATGTTGAACCTAATAATGTTATGGTCAGTGTTCCCAACTGGTGCTCTCATATTTACATTTTTCACCAGGTCTTGAGCATTACTTATAACCAAGTCCAGGATTGTTTCTGTTCTGTGACTGTCTGCTTCATGGTACAGTCCTGAGAGTATCTAAAAACCCAATCTCTTTTTCCTGACTTGAACTCATATTGACCCAATCAATGTGTGGGTAATTAAAACCACCTATTATAACACAGATTTTTTTTACTACCTGCTTTCCTTAATTCTTTTGCTATTCTTAAATCATCCTCTAACCTTTGATGTGGTGGCTGCTAACAGACTCCCAGAGTTAAACTTCCTTTTGGGCACACTATTTCCACCCATAGCATTTCTGTAAGCAAATCAATTTCTCTTACATTCTCAATCTTACTGGACTGTATACCCCCTCTGACATACAGAGCCACTCCACCTCCGACCCGTCCCTCTGTATCCTTCCAATATAATTGATGCCTGATATAATTTATATATGATTTATATATAATTTATATATTGTTATTTATTTAATGTATAGACCACCCTCCCCTGAAGGGCTCAGGTTGGTGCACAGCATCCAGCAAATACATATAATCAATATTTAATATAGTTTAAACAGTTTAACAATACAATACATGCAGTAAAACTAATCCAGGTGGTATTTGATGCCAATTTTATATCCTTTCCTGTGAGGGCAAGGGGGGAGAGTAACAGAGGCCAGGCTCAATGGCAATTGGCAAACCGTTGCTGTCCTCAGCTATAGGCCTGGCAGAACATCTCTGTCTTAGAGGCCCTGTGGAACTATACCAAGTCTCTCAGGGCATGGATGTCACTAGGCAGAGAGTTCCACCAGGCCAGCGCCAGGGCCAAAAAGGCCCTGGCTCTGGTCAAGGACCGTTGGATGTCTTTCAGGCCAGGGATCATCAGGAGACTTTCCTCCCCAGAATGTAATGCTCTTCTGGGGGTATGCCAGGAGAGGTAGTTCTGAAGGTACGTTGGCCCCAGACTGTTTAACGCCTTAAAGGTTAATACCAGAACCTTGAACCTGATCTGGTATTCAACCTGCAGTCAGTGCAGCTGGCAAAGTACTGGTCAAATATGTGCTGTCAAAAGGGTCTCCATAAGGACCTGGGCCACTGCATTCTGGACCAGTTATAATTTCTGGGTCAGTCTCAAGGGTAGCCCAACATAGAGGGCTTTACAGTAGTCTAACCTGGACGTGACCGTTGCATTGATTACTGTAGCTAGGTCAGGGAAAGACAGGAAGGGGGCTAGTTGCCTGATCTGGTGCAACGTTTGTGATCTGGGCCTCCATTGATAGGGAGGCATCCAAGATCTCACCCAGGCTCTTGGCATTTGGCACTGGTGTTAAAGGTGCACTATCAAGAGCCAGGATATGGCACCCCACCCATGAGTCCCCCTGACCCAGCCTCTGTCTTCAATAGGTTCAGTCTCAGTTGGCTCTGTTTCAACCACAAAATCATAGCTTCCAGTCCCTCGGCCAGACTAGATGGAGTGGTGTCTGGCCATCCATCCATCAGATATAGCTGAGTGTCATCAAGATACTGATGATAACTCAGCCCGAAGGTCTGTGTCAGCTGGGGTTGGGGGAGTAGAGGAGAGAGAATTGTGGGAATTGGGGAGAGGCTCCAGCAGCTACCCTGCAAGTTTGGAGCCTCTCCCTCAAACCCCCTCCCCTCCAGCCTCAGAATATACCCTATGTTTTCACCATTGACTTCAATGGCCCATAGGATATAATGGGGCCAAATCATTGACTTCAATGGCCCATAGGATATAATGGGGCCAAATTGCCGCCGAGATTTGGCGGCAATTCAGCAGCAAGCCCATTCAGATCAGAGAATCTTAATTGGCCTGCAGCAGTCCAAAAGGGGTCCGAATGAGCCATTTTCGGGGGTGCATTCGGTTCGGACGAACTGAATGCACATCCCTAATGACAATGCAAGCAACAGTGTGAACATACAGTATAAGATATACAACAAACAATGCAATAGAACTAGGAATACAAACTGAATGCCAATACCGGTGCATTAGGACTAGGAATGCAAAATTAAATGATCATGTGACTAGCAAACTGCCCAGGCCAGCATAGTGCAAACAATGCAGACTGGAGGATTCCAAGAGTACAAGGTACCTGCTCCCATTGAAGGCACCCTTCTGAACTGTTCTGCCCCAACTGCCCTTCCTGAAAATTTCTGTTTTTGCACATTTTGCAGAATTATAGTACTGGGTGAGCCTTCCTTACCTCTTCAGGCAGGTTGTTCCACAAGGTGAGAGCCGCCACAGAGAATGTGTATGAGTGGGTAGTTGCAGTTGTTACCAGTTTGCATGGAGGAACCTTCAAAAGATTCTGTTCAGGCAACTGAATGCTTATGTTCCTTGACTGATTGGAAGGGGAGTTGGACAAGGCTATGAAAGGTAGTCACATGTCTCCCACTCTGTACAACGATCAGGCACATGGGTGAATGCTGAAGGGATTTCAGGCTCCTTTATACCACGTGAGGAGCCATCTGTATGTGGGCAATTTGCCTGTGGACTGAACTGAATCCTACAGGATTCCGTATGTAAAATAAGGAAATTCTAATGGCCAGTTTAAACAGAAGCTATATGTACCTCTCAAGCTTGTGGATCTTCTTACACAGCTTGCCCTTCAGATATTGCATCTCAGTTTTTCTGCATTCCTTGTAATGTTCAAAGCCAATTGCAGAATTCCATTGAAGAGGGCCTCTGTTGAATTTCCTGTTATTGAGTCAATCCAGTTCAGTTTTATGGCTTAACAAGATATCTTTATGCAAGCAAAGATTAAATGACTCCTCATAGTAATATTGTCGGGCACAGCTGAGAACACCGATCTTATGGTATATTCTGTAGAAGCAAGATAGACTTTTGCATGGAGGGCCCTTTGCATGAAAACCAACAAGGTTCCTGGTTCACTCACGAGAACAATACTGAAAATATCTAGTTATCCAATAATTTTTAATGAAGAAATACAAAAGATCACAAAGGAGTACTTATTCAGCATAAAATTTGGCAGTTAGACAAGCTAGTAATGCAATCCTGTGCAGAGCTGTTCCATTCTCTTTATTTCAATAGGTTTAGATTGGAGTAACTGTGTATAGATTGTATTGTTGATCTCTGTCTGCAACATAGGCAAATATTTGTAAAGGCTTAGCAGATCTGTGCTGTACAGACTTTTGTACTCCTGTATATAAAATTCTGTATGTAGTTATTATGGTTTCTTGCATTCAATTTTATTGTTATGAAGTGCTGAAAAATTGTTTTGACATGTTATTGAATCTCCAAGATTCCTGTTTATCAACAGATATGTATAACTATATTATGGCATTGAAAATGAGTACTGCTTAACTTTAGATATTCCCCAGATGAGCTCCGATATTTGCCGCTAAATACAGCTCTGTATGAGCCTCCTTTAGATCCAGAGCTACCTGCATTGGATAGTGATGGAGATTCTGATGATGTGGAAGAGAGAGGTGATGAAAAGCGTAAAATCAAAGGCAACTCGGTGAGCAAAACCTGAACTTTAGAAAAAATCTTTTTTCTTTTTACTTTTGATGGCTGACAGTGAGTCTCTGTCACACATAGATGACCCAAGTGGTGGCAATTTTTCTTACACACTTTTTCCTATTGAAAAGAGGGACAGATCAGCTCCTTGATTTTCTGGGGAGCCTGGGGTGAATGAAGCAGGGGAATGGGTAAAATATAGGTGGAAGGAAACTCTGGTTGACTTCAGCTAAACACAGGTGAGAGGCTGTTTGCAGAATTGACAGCAAATAACTACTTTTCCACTACTGTCACATCTGTTCAGGACCATCCACCAGAAGCTATTTGGAGTGGTGAAGTGGCTTCTTTTGGTAGAACCGCAGAATGACCAGTGAACTTTCAGCAGCTCACTGACTTATTTGCTTGCTACTTTTCAGATAAAATAATTTGCATCTGATCCAGCTTAGATTCCACCTTGAATTCAGTATAAGGGTGAGAGATGTCCAGAACATCTAGTCCTAATTCATGGAAGGAATTTTATGTTTGAAGAAGTATAGCCAAGTGTGCAACCCTTGCTTCTTGTCTTACCATGTCTAGTAGGGGAGGAATAACTGGTTGGATCAGGCAGTAATGAATGCCTTATTGCAAAAGGAGGTAGTCTTGGTTGTTCAGAAGGAACCTACAGGGCCACTCCCTGGACAGTATTTATTTATTTATTTGTTCAGTTTATACCCCGCCCTCCTCGCTGAGGCAGGCTCAGGGCGACACTAGCAATTTATCCAACTATCACTTGGTGGCAAGTTCAACTGAAAACTGGCAAATATAGAACATCAGGTGTAAACCGGTTGTATGTGCTCTACATACAGCCTGACATCCAGAGAGCTTTATGCAGTGCCAGGCATGAGGACTGCAGTTCTCCCTTTCCACTGCAGCATCTGTTCCTCAGGGCTGGAGTACTTTCTAGAGTTACATGCAGTGTTGTTCAGGGGCTGCAGCCAGGGTAAAGGGTGGAAATCAGTCAGATGTCTGGAAGTGCTTTCTGTGTGTATTGTGACTCTTGGGACTCCTCCTACACTTTCTGTAATATTATAAGTACAAACTTTGTACATGCTGTACAATTCATAGCAAACTTACAAGGTTGCATTGAAGAGAGGGCAAGTTGCCTTGGCAAGACATTGATCTCAGTGACTGCCTGATGGATTTAAACCTGGGTTCGCCACACCTGAATGTAACTCTTAACTGCTGAACTGCTTGTATTAAAACATATATCAACTTTCCCCTTCTTTATGTCTTAGTGGAATTTCACCTGGTTGTTTCAGAAATTACATTGCTTTGGCCTGTTCAGTATTGCATAAGGGTGAAGTGGTTGAGATGTTCTTGCTTGCGTTATTGTTGTTTTATGCCTGTTCATTGGTGTTTTAGGTTATCTCCCAAAGAGTACAGAATTCAGATCAACAAATCATTAGCCATTAAATAATAGACTAGGGGTATTGAAATGCTCAGCCAGTGACTTCTGCTCCTCTGTCATTTGAGTAAGGGCTCAGTCAGTATGACCTTGCACCATGGTCATAGCCTCATAAATGTGATCCCCCCCGGCAGATCATCAGTGTGTAGGATCAGACTAGTATTGCTTTAATTGGAGACCTCAGTGCTAAAGAAAAGTTCTGTCCCTCCTCTTGAAAGAGAAAGAAGGGATGGTCCTTCTTCTGATCTTTTAACTGGTTTTGAAATTTTGAAAGAGCTTCTTTCGTTGCGAGCCACAAACAAACAAATGAAATCATGTGGGATTTTTGTTGTTGTTGTAGGACAACTCATCTGGCAACGTATCTGAAGGAGAATGTGCCCCTGAAAACCAGGAGGAATCATTTCAGGGAAGACAAAAAACGAGGGAGAAGAACTCTACTCCAAGAAAAGAAGGCTCCAAACGTTCTGTATCCAAATCAGTTCCTGGGTACAAGGTAGAAGAAAAAAGCCCCTGACTCAGCTTCTTTACTGACCAGCCTCTCTCCCTGAAACATTTAACTTTGTTTTTCAAAAATATGGAACTTCTGCTTACTATACTTGACTAGCTGCTCTTCTTTTGTGCATTCCTGTTTGCTTCCTTACTTCCTGTGGCTTTATTTTACTTGGGGCCTTACTGTTTGTTACCCTGGCTGTGGAGTTGCTTCTGTTTTCTGTACCTAATTGGTTCCTAAGCAATTGCAGCATGAAACTCCATTATAAGGAGGATTTTCTCATTTTTGAAGTAGGTGGGAAGGTGTTTTTGCTCTGCTCCAGCAGCTAAATGGTTACATTATCAAGTATAAATTTTAAAATAGTGTGCTTGCCAGTGTGACAGTCTATCACTGTAAAATGCAGCTAAAATGTTGCATATATTCTTCAACATGTTTTTCATCTGGAAAGAGGTGACTGAGTAGAACATGATTTAGTAGTATATTCTTAAGAGGATTCCCTCTGTACGTAAGCTAATTTGGAGAAGCATTACAATGTTGTGTTTAACCAAAAATTCAATTAGCATAACAGGGATTGTACTTTTTCATCCATACCTGTACTTTTTAATCCATACCCCTTACATGCAATGAAATAAGGAGCTGGTCTTGGATTCATGTCTTTCTCTCCACCATTAATCCTTTATTGTATGAAGCAGGCTACACCTGGCGGAAGATTCTGTCATTTATTCAAACATGGGCTCTCTGTGATCTTGCAGCATAGAATCCATGATACAGGAATCCCAGACGTTTGCAGTTTAGAAAGAGATTTCATATTACAGGGTTGGGGAAGGTCCCTGATTTCAGTGTGTAGTCTCTTGGTCTGCCTGTCATCTTGTGTTAAATTCCATTCTGAAATGATGGAAACAGAGAATGAGTCCAAGATTGCATCTTTCACCACACTTACTGCTGTAGTGTGGGGGAATGTAAGATCTGAACAAGCCCCAGAGCTCTCTGACCTAGAAGAAGACTTGCATTGTAAACAGTGATTATTACATCTAGTGTTTAATCATCAGCATTACTGATGAATTTCCATTTAGGATTAAGTGTACTTTCATGTGTCAGTGGAATTAATCTTTCATTTTGAGAGTTAAGGGAAATAAGAAGCAATAACTCAATAGCTTCCATTGAAAATAGTGAAATGTTTGCTTTATATTGCAGTTGAAGAAGGTATTAGAAAGTTTACGGATAGAAGGTTAAGAAAAGTAATTTTGAATTGCCAAAAAGATGATCAAATAATGTTGCGTTTGTGAGGTTTTGCAGCAAAAGTAATTTTAAAGTTTAGTAACACACTATCAAACTGCAAAATGTATATGTTGACTGATTTTATATCATTCTAAATAAGCAGTCCCTTTCAGTTAAGATTGTGCAGCTTTGATCAAAAAGGCTTCCAGGAATACTGTTTAACTGCATAAACACATATTTTCAGAGTATGTTACAAACATGCTAAACTTTAGTTATATCTTTTTCAGGAATTATTTTTAAATGAAGCAAATAGAGATTTTAAACTTTTGCAAAACACATCTATTTTTACATATTAGCATTGAAAAAAATGTTTATCTTATTGTCCAAACATATGCCAATAATATGGTGGTTGACAGAATCCAAAGATGATGCTTCAGAGGAGACATTGTAGCATTTTGGAACTTTACAAATTATGTGAACAAAGATAACAAAATACATGTTTAGCTAGTCCATTGCCTTGATGGCACAGCACCAAGGACAGATTAGTAAGGCTCTTGTCTGCTAACTTTGGAGCTGTATAGTTCTTGGATTTTAATATGGATCTGAGTTTGTGCTGACCATCAGTTCAAAACCATTTTCAGTAACTTTGGGAATGATCCATTGTGAAGTGTTCCTGTGGGCAGCCTCCCTCTGAAATGAATTTTACTATGTTCTTGTGCCTCTGCACTTCAGTGGGACTGGTACAGGAAAGCTTCCAAGAGGATTGGGCCCCAATAGCGTAAGCTGCTTGCAAAACCTATTGGTGCCAACTGTGTTGCTACTCTGTGTTGCTACCTATGGCACTTAAGTTGAATGAAGAATAACTTTCACCTCAGAACACTTCTGCTTTATGCAAAATCAGAGTGGTTTTAAATACATTCACTACATGGAATTGATTAGACATGGAGATTTTATCATCTGTCTATAGCAGGTATTGATATACCGTGTGTCTACATATTAAGACACTTTTAAGTCTGTAAATGGGACTTTAATGGTTGTCCCCAGGAACTCTTAATATTTATAATAGCTTTATTATACAGCATTCACTAGTGCACCTGTATATCATCACATACTAGCTTTTAGATCATAATATTCATAAAACTGAAATTCAAGGGTAAGAGGAGTTTGGACATGCATGCATACTTTTAATAGTCCACAGAATGTGAGTGTTACAGTATTTCATATTTATTTCTGCTTTTAAACAGGCACATCAGTGTATTTTATTACACTTTTGATCTTTTCTCCTCTTGTTCCTCAGTTGCCATTCTCTTGCTTTTCATTGATGAAGGACTGACAGTTTACAAGCAGTATTTTGTTCATAAAGTTAGGGATATTTGTGTGAAGCAAGAAACGGGGGTGAAATCTTGACATCATCCCACTTCTCTTTTCATTTCCCTCATTACAGAATCTCTTATGCTTCACATTTAGTTGCTATGAAAACAAGAAAGGGATCTTTTTTGGCACTGTGATCTAAGAAAACACGGTATACTTATTTAGCATTTTTAGGTATTTTGGCATTTAGCTATAACCCTGAACCCAGGCTGCTTAAGTACCATCGTCCAGTAGAATTTGAGCAGCCTGCATGATGGATTGTAGCTGAATTTTGAGAGCAACAGGATGGAAGCAGTACCCTAGTCAGTGTTTTTCAGAGTTCCTGTAAAACTATTTTTATTTCTTTCTAGTAACACTTGAATTGTTTTGAAATGTGAACAGGCTTTCCTTTGTATTACACTTTTTGTAGGAATGCGTTTCTGTGTTTTTGGAGGCTCTTCTAATTGGTATGCAGTGACTATTTCACTTTAAAGTTTGTGGAGCTTGGACTAGAGGGAAACTTTATCAATAAATGCTCCAACCTCAATGTTTGTTAGCATTTAGATGGGGTATCAAAATGTTAACTACACATACCACAGCACAGGTACAGTAACTCAAATGTAGTTTTGTTTTTGGGGTGATAGGGAGTTTGCTGCTGTATGGTATGGCAGTAGAATATACATATGGCAAGAGAATTAGAGAAGTGCACTTGCTGTTTTATTTTATTTTGATATAGCTTATTAAAACACAATAAAAACCTGACTCGTAGAATGTAGCAGTAACAAGAGGGTGAACGCTGCAGGAATGAAGTTTGATCCTTTTGTTGGGAGGAGCAGGGTATAAAAATGGTATACATGTAGGAGTAGAATAGCTAATAGTACCATTTTATATGTATGTTTTCACGTCCATGATATTTATTATTTTGTAGAGACATTTGTGAATGTTAGACTTCTTTCATCATTTGGTTATATTTATGTATAAAACAGGTGGAATATGCTTTCTAAAAAAATAAATAAGCAAAAAATTATTCATGAATGCCTCTGTCATCTTTTGAAAAGGGAGATGTACATACATGCCTTGTTGGGTATTTGTTTAAAAAACAAACTATGGAGGCCAAACAAGTTAACATACCCCAAAATCACAGGGATGGATTTTTAAAATAAAGTCAAAATCAGGCTAACCCGTATGAAAATTCTAAAGACAGTAGTTCTTGTAATTATTGGAAGTATGTGGCTAACAGCATCTTTAGATGGAAATTGTTTTTAAAAACAATGTAATGACTTTTTCACTAAATCTTATTGGAAGTATGTGGCTAACAGCATCTTGTTTTTAAAACCAATGTAATGACATTTTCACTAAACTTTTTTAGTTAATACCATTTTGAGTTGAAACAAATTTTATTTTTTTTATCCATTTGGTAAGTGTGGTTTTGCAGTTAAGAAATATTGATTACTTAGCAGTATATCAGCTCTCTCAGAAGCCCAAAAATATCCCTGCCAAGAATGTGTATTTGAGTTCAGGACGGGAATATCTCATTGTCTGGGTGTTTGGAGGGCCAGCATGTGGGACCATCCCATGTTAGTTCAAAGCCGTTCCTCCTTTCCTTGTTGGCCTTGCACAGTTCTTCTTGCTCATACCTCTTACTCTTTCAAAGTTGAGATGTGTTTAGATGTTATGTTGGGTACTCGATAAACAGAGGCTTTTCTGCCAAGAAGAGACCTGTAGGTACTATGTCACGCATTAGTCTATACTATGTAGCCAATTTCCAATACCTAATTATCCAGACTCGCTTAGAAATTCCAGCTCTGCAAACATAAGTGGCTCCAGGTTTTCAAGTACTGATATGATGTTGCTGTACAAAGATGACCTGCAACTTTCCCTGGCCCACGTAAAGAACAGTGTTGATAGCTATCTTGTACAAGCATGGAATTCGGATGCTTGTACCAAATTACATCACTTTTATTAGCTGAAACCCAGTTTAATGTATCATTATCCAGCAAAAGAACTTCATGGCTTTAAAAAAAAATTGACACAAAAAGGGAAAGCAACTTATTAGTCTTATCAGATGCACTCAATGTTCATTATAAAAATCTAGTATAGATGAATTTTCTGCAGTATTTCTTTATGAATATCACTGTAAATCAGAAACATCATTGTAAATAATTCACTCATCTATCGATAAGCTATTTTAGGTGATTTGCATTGCTTTAATATAATAGTAATTCAAACACTTGGTCGGTGGTACTTGTGAAGGAGAAAAAAGCAGGTAGTTATAGCCATATAATATACATTTTATTCAAATTTAAGTTCTTTAATTGGGAAATATGCTGTAAACTACCTGGAGGACTTTATGGGTGGTTGGATCCTAGGGTCTGTTTCCACAGAGATAAGACTAAGGCCAGTAGGTAGGGGGATAGTTTTCTCTAATTCACCCCCTTTCAATGTAGCCTAGTAAAGCACACTCAGCGCTGTTCTGAGGATCCCTGGAACACCAGTGGCATTATTTAGGAGGCAAGTGGACTGTGGGAGTGGGAAATTTCCATTCTGGGAGCTGAGCTTCATTCCTAAATTATTTGGAGTATATTTTCTATATTATACAAGTGGTTCACTTTGCATTTGCTTTAAGTATTATGATTGTTTTTATTCCAAATAGCTCTAATCAGTGCAGTCTCTTTAATCGTTCCCTTTGATCAACATCATACAGAGAATTCATTAATTTTACAGACGTTAAAATGAGATTTTGAAAAAAAAATGCCTGTATCAGTTCTTCTGGAATGAATTTATAGCCCTCTTCTACCCTTCCAGCCAAAGGCCATTCCAAATGCTATATGTGGAATTTGTCTGAAGGGTAAGGAGTCCAACAAGAAAGGGAAGGCCGAAGCCCTAATACACTGCTCCCAGTGTGAAAACAGTGGTAAGTAAAAAAATGCTATAAGCATTGCTCTAAAGTGACAAACTAATTGGGGGGGGGGAAGATACTCAAAATAACATGCAAACTTAAAAAATCAGAATTTTTTTTGCAGTGTTTTGTGATTACTACAGCGTACCTGATACACTTAAAGGAATTTTACATTTCATAAAATGAACCATTTAATTAGTTTTCTTAGAGACTTCTTTGACCATTCTAGTAATGATGCCGGTTTTTATCTAGGCCACCCCACCTGTCTGGATATGTCTGCAGAGCTTGTTGCCATAATTAAGACGTACCCTTGGCAATGTATGGAGTGTAAAGCATGCATTATATGTGGACAGCCTCATCATGAGGAAGAAATGATGTTCTGTGATGTGTGTGACCGTGGCTATCATACGTTTTGTGTGGGGCTTGGTGCTATACCCTCAGGTAAGTTACTTTTCTTTTTTTTAAATATCAGTACCTTGATTTTGTGATTTTATAAAACTGACAACTATTTTGTGTGTCATTTTATATCTTGTTCATTAAGAAATCGCTATACACAAGATTTCCTTAGACATTTTATTTACTTTCACAATTCATAAAGAACGGAGGATTGACTGTAAGGTTGCAAAGAACATATAGAAATATAGAAGAGTACATGATAAACTTTGAGAACCTTCCACAGCATTTGCAGCACTGCTTTCCTGCATAAGCAAACAAAGAGGTGTAAGGCAGTATCTGAAATGTCAGTTGTAGTGGGAGAATAGATGTAATGAGACTGGATGCTTATATTTTCCTATACTGAATTATTCTGGAAGAATTATGCAGTGTTCAGTTGAGGTGACCTCTGCCCATCTCTTTTAGTGTTATTTTAATGTGTGTAATAGCTTCACAAATTTAAATTCTATAAACTCCTTGAGGCTTTTGAGGAAGCAGAAGTCTAATAAACCAACTATGGTTGAATATGGGGGATGATTAATCAGCTGTTGCTAGAACCATTCTGTTTTAATAGTGGATTTTTTGACTATTCGGGACTATAATTATACTAAAGCAGCATTTCTCACCATTGGAACAAATCAGTCTCCCTTTGTCTCGTTTACTGTTCTGTTGTATAGAGAAAATCTGAGTAAATTTGCCTAACAGGGTATGACAGTACTCCATTCGAAACTTCAAGCAGCTCACTACTGCCCTTCCTTCCTTTATAATTTATTTGTGGAATGAGTAGCTGCTTGAATCCCAATTAATTCACAGTGCTGGGAAATGGATATGGAATTCCTTTGGGATTAAGTGCACCAATGAAGCACTGCTTTGCACTGTTCAGATGGTACACTGTCATATAGCCCCTTTCATATCTATCACTATTACCATAAGAACTGTTTGGTGAAGGAGACATCTTTCTTCCATTATGGATAGGTATGGCATTTGTATGTAGCTCTAATTTCCTGTAGCTTGTCTCTGAATTTCATGGCATTAAAAAAAACTGTCCAGTCCAATCCTAAAAATGTTTGTGCTTGGAAATAAATCCCATGGAATGAAATGGGTTGTTTTCCTAAGAAAGCATAAATAGAATTGCAGCCTTTTATTGGAGCCTTTGTATAGTATCAGATGTTTAGTCTGGTTTTAACTGGCATCTCTGATTTTGTAGGTCGCTGGATTTGTGACTGTTGTGAAAGGCAGCCCCCAATTCCCAGGGGTAGAGGAAGAAGAGGGAAGAACAGTAAAGAAGGCTAAACTCAGTACCTTATATGTAAAACTGCACAAAGCTAGGAGCTAAATTTGGTGCTATTTAACTTACCACTCTGTATAAGGAAAAATACCACTCAAATGTTTTTCACCAAATAAAAATTTAAGTTTTAAAGATGGGGGAAGATGCTTGTAATAGAAAGCAGTGGGGGAAGATGCTTGTAATAGAAAGCAGTGGGTGAACACTAGGTGTCTAGTCTATAAATGCAACTTGTCAAAAGTGTGTTGCATGTATCTCTACTGCCCAGCAGTTATTTCTACAGAGAAACAGCTCTTCTTTGTTCTACATCTCAGTCAAAGTAAATGAAAAGATTGAATTACCAGCAAGCAATTACTGTTATTTCACTTACTATCATGGCAGCTCCTGAAATTTTGCTCCCAAGGGCCATAAAGCACTACAAGCCTCTTGGAGCAAAGTCGGTGCTCATGGAGCCAAGTACTAGATGTGGTGGAAGTAATCATATGTCTGATATACCCATCTATAAACTAGGAGAAAATCAGGGGGTGGAGATGTTATCAACCTGAACACATGAGAGAAGGGCTTCAACTCTTCCCCATTATAATTACCTGAGTTTGGATACTCTGTTCTTCATCTCTGGCACTAAAACTGGCAATGAACCAGTTATAGACAAGCTAAATTTGGTGCTATTTAACTTACCACTCTGTAAGACCACTTAGTTTATACATGAATGGGGCAGATATGTGAAAAACACATTTTTACACAGTGAAGTCCACCTTGGCCGTCTTAAGTACAGATATAAAATTACAGTAAGAAATAAAGGACCCAGTTACCTTTCTTGGGCAGCAGCAATATCAGCAACTAAGCTGAGTGTCAGTAACATAAAATATCTATATGGTTAAGAGTTTGATCGGGGGGAAAAGGCTGCACTAGAGCAGAAGTTCTGCATGCTGAAATCTATGGTAAGTAAGCATTACCTTGGATTAGTCTGGCACTCACTGAGAGTAAGTATTTGTCTTCAAGTGTACTTCCATTACCCTAGTGATTTTGCAACTTTAGACTCCTTCCACATCGTGTAATGGCCAAGAGCATTCACACAAACCACTCATCTCTGGTGTTGGTGCACACACAACTCCTGCACTTGCAAAGATAATTCCCCTATTTATGTTACAGAACGTTTACTGGCAAATGATTCAAACATGCACAAGCCCAATTAAACAATGTTTAAGTTCCAGTGATTACCTGCTCATAGTATAGCCACTGGAAAGAACAAGTATATGGCTACATTTGAAACATGAAATGTTCAACTTGCAGTCTCCCATTCCTAAAACTTTAAAAATTGTATACAGAAAATAAATTTTATTCAAAGTCACAGTGAACTGCAATTTTCATAATTGACACTGCTCGGTTACAGGGAATATGTACAAATACTGTGCATGCTGCAGCATATTAACAATAAAAAATTATATATGGCTTTATTTTCCCATCCTCAACATAGAAAGTGTTAGTACTAATCTCACATAAAAGTGTTTATTTGATTTCAGGTGACTACCTGTAACTAGCTTAGTCATAAAGCCAAAAAAGGATTTCAGCTATTATTTTTAGTATTGCAATCAGTATAGTCCAGAAGACTGATTCTTCATCCTGAGACTCATCTTCTGTTGAATGAAATTGCTTCAGGTTTATCTCCATGTCTTCTGGATTGTAAGAGCCCGCATCCAATGGATATTTGACAGCTGTCTGATCGTAGTATACTTTCATTTCAAATTCACTTTCCAGGTGATAGGGATGACCATAAATTCCAATTCCTACTGGGCGGTGAAAGTGTTCTGGCACATGAACCACATCTTGGCCACAAGTTACAGATTGTAATTCATAATCATCAAAACTGGGGTGAAGGGTCTTATCAGATACATACAAGTCTGCATCACCCTTTAAACTGTGCATTTGAAGCACTATCTTCCCTTCATGATTTAATCTCAAGTAACTATAATTTCCAGCACCAATCTGACCTTGAACCACATGAAGGAGAAGCCATTCTTCGGGTACATCCTCTTCTTCATTGTAAGTGCTTGTCATTAGAAGTCCTTGACAAGCAAGTAGCATCACTAGTACATTCTTCCAGTGAGCTGCCATGGTACCTGTGGTGGACATATTATTTCAGGTCATTCTATAGCTAATTTTAAAAAATAAGTGGTTGAAAAAGTGGAAAAGCAGTGAACATATGCAGTATCATTTAATTAGCTACAGTCAGTTTTGTTTTTCTTGGCAATTGTTACTATGTCTGAGTAACTTGACGTACACTAATGTAAAACCTTTAACAGTAAATATTCAGCAAAGAAGAAGTCCAAGGGGCACCAATGTAAAGCACTAGGAGTGCCATCCTATGCGTGTTTACTCAGAAATAAGTCCAGTTTTAATCAGTAGGGTTTACTTCCAGGTAAGCATTCACAGGATTGCAGCCTTAGTGAGCTTGACCTAATTCTTGGTCTTAAATATGAAACATATGAAGGTAAAAAATCCTTTAGTAAAAGAGATGATCCTTTCAGTGCAAATGCTTTCCTAAAAAAAGATACAATACAGTTTTGGTTAAACAAAATGAAGTCCAGTAACATGTTAAGTTCCAGCAAAATTTTTCGGATTATACATTTTCATGAGTCAGCTCACTTTGGTACAAATAGGGATGGAGATCTGTCAGCTCCTATAACCTTTCATTAAGAATTATTTAAGTTAACTTTAATATAAAAAATTGGCCTGCTTCTTGATATAGTATGCATTCTGCAAATGCCAGTATGCAGTGTAAAACTTACCAGTATAGTTGTCTGGTGGCAAAACTGAAAACTTCATGGAGACCCAATTGTTAGAAATGGACACATTTTGTTTTACTGTCCATTAGAATCATAACATGATGGTGTTGTCCCTGAATAGTATTTAGGTAGTTCTTAAGTGGGTCACCTGAACTGGAAAAGGTAGTTACAAACTTCTGGGCAGGTGGATGAAGAGATACTTGTTAGAAACTGACAATTTTATCTGGCCATTTGTTTCTAACGAAATGTTATTTCTGATAGCTGTAAGGTCACAAATAGCATTAAGTCTGGCTACATTTTAGAAACAACAAAAATGTTTTAACAGAAGTGATAAGAGATTTATAATATGTGAAGGATGACTGACTAAGCTATATCATCCCAAGGTTGGACACACACATTTTCTGTGGAAGTACGGTAAGAGCTATTAATTCAACCACCATGCTCATCCTTATTATGGTAACTGCATATTTTTTGTACAATTAAAATGTTTAGATCCTGCTTTTAAAATAGACTCAGGCCAACTTAATAGGAATGTATGTGCCAAGATAAAATTGATTAAAATACAAGAAAAAACATTCAGCCAGCTATAAAACTCAACAAATTCAACATCAGTACTTTCAGCATAAAAAATTGTAGCTTTTCCTCAGTCTTACAGATGTGAAGATGTTACATAGTGTTTTTATATGCTAATGTATTTTAATGATGAGCATGGGCACATCCACAAAATATGAATCTGTATATGACACAAATTTTCTCTGAAGCAAGGCCAGTCTTAAATAATTCGGTCATAAGGACATCATATATCTTATTCCTGTAAGTCATTTCTGATGGCAAGAACTGTCCCCATATTCACAGCGATTCCCTGCGTGTGAAGAGCAATATAGCAGTACAGGATAATTAGGTTTGGCGTCTGGATCATGGATTGCAATGGACAATCTAGCCAATATAAACATTCCTTCAGACTACTTAGTGTACACACACACACACCCCGCAGTAAGTAAAATCACCAACCCGTGTATCAAGAGCAGTAGAAAACCTTGGGGACGCTGAAGGGAGTTTAAAAAAAACAACAAAAAACCCAAAGGCTACAGCTATACTGTAGCAAGGAACAGGAACAATGTATGTTTTCCTTCAAAATGAACTGTACATTCAACCATTTTACTTGGAGGGCAGAATCTGCACCCAAAGCTGTTTGAATTTGGAGCCAAGCAGAAAACCTGAAGGCACTCGGGACCCTTCTAGCTGAAGTCGCGGAGGCAGCGCCTTAGGAGGAGACTTCGACTACACGAGACCGCCTGGTTCCCAACACAAGCGATGCAGCAGCTGTCAATTGGGGGGGGGGGGGGCGCAGGCGGACATATTTCTTTCCAGGCCTCTTAACTTTCCGGAACAGTTGATATCCTGTCTGCCCATCTCTTTTCTCACTATCCTGTCTAGTGTGAGCTGCAGCTGAGGCAAACGCTTTCCAGGTGTGAGTCAACGCATAGCCACTGAAGAGAGTTTAAATCGTCTTTATTTCGCTTCACATGCATTCAGTAGATCATTTACTCACAGTGGAGCTGAAAGCTGGATAGAGCGTTACATCTTTCAGATCTAGGTCAATCCTATGGCAAAAGGAGACGGGCTTCCCCTCTCCTTGCAGTAAGGGTTGATGGACACAGAAACGGAAAAGAACAATAAAACTCCTATCTTTTTGCCTCTGAGCTCAGGAAATTACTCTTAAGGAGCCAGTCAGAGGGAAGCTTCTGGGACCCCTAACTGTGAACTCCAATTCCCAGGTGTAACTACTCTTAAAGGCACATTAACGCTGGCTGGGGGCAGCACAGTTGAGGACTCACCAAGAGAAAGAGGGAAGCGTTTCACCCTCCGAGCGCCCTATAAAGGCTGAGTCGGAGCAACTGCTCAAGGTAAAACAGATCCGAATTTCCGAGAGAGGCAGGCGAGTCAGCCTGTTTGCATTAAAAGTAAACTGGAGTCGTGTGACAGTTTGAAGACTAACACGATTTTGGCGCAGGACGCGCTTTCGTGGATTAGAGCCCAGTTCTTCAACTGCAATCGGTATCTAGAAGGCGACTCTAGTCTGCAGTTGCTTGCGCCAGGGTAAAACTTTATTCGTCTTCAAGGTGCCGCAAGACTCCACTTTATTTTTAATGCCAACCAAGGTTCCTAGTTTGCTGGACTCGCTTGGCCTCCGTTTCGGCCTCCCCACCGCTCGCCCCCAACCGTGCGCTTCCGCCTTCCCATTCGAGCCCTCGCTCACCCGCCTGCCACCATCGGGGAGGCCGCCAGAACCTCCTGACAGCCAGAAAGCCAAAACACAGCCGCTCACGCCTGCGACAGCGAGACTCAGCACGTATCGCGAGACGTGGGAGCTCCCCCCCCCCCTTACGATTCCGCTGGGACTGGCCTTCCCGTGCACGAGGGAGGGGGCAGAACGGTGCCGGCGGGAGAAAGTGTCTGGAAGTGTTTCCATGGCAGTAGGGCACGGCAGCCCCGTTGTCCCTGCGATCTGCCCAAAGATTGGCTCAATCCTGTGTGACGTTGACCTCGGCTGCAGGATTTGCAGTTGGGTGTTAAACTCGGAAAGTGAATTCTTCTCCCTCGATCCTCATGATACCGCTTGTAATTTTTTTTTAAAGCCTCAAGCAGACTGCAGACGCCAAACTCTCGGGTTAGCGTGAGCAGCGCTAAAGAACTGGAAACTTCTGTAGCTCATGTGCTTAATGAAATGATTAACAAATTTGTTTTTCTGTGCTTTTTCTCTGCACTCAAAGGATGTGTGCCTAGGAAGGACCCGCTCAAGCTGTAGTATATGGAACCTGCCTCTTTAAGAGACAGGCTTAGGTCCTAAATGGAACGCCTTCTCTTCACACGAATGGGTGTGTCTTCTGGAATATATTTAGACTAGAGTTGTTGGTAGTTAGGATTCCAGCCCTTGTTAAGTCTCAGTTGTTTCCTGCCTTGCTGTTCCATACATTAAAGAAGGTTTTTGAAGACATCCTGTCAGCTGTCTTTCTCTCTGGCCTTAGAGCAGAACATTTGCCCACCTCCACGATGAGGACACTTTTACAAAGGAGACAAACACCAGACAAGTTTTTAATGCCATCCCATTAAGATCTACCCCATCTTGTGATGAATGAAGCACTGATATTTTGTTGTTGTATTTTATTGTTTTATTGCGATGCTGTTTTTACTTATTTTAATTTTGGTACTTTGTGCCTCTTGTTAGCCGCCCTGAGCCTTCGGGGTAGGGCAGGATATAAATCCAAATATTTTTTTTTTAAAAAAGCATCCTCCTCCCCTGCTGAGATATCAAGGCGGTGGTGGTGGTGGTACATATGAGAGGAGACCATGGCTTCAAGAGTAGTCCCTTACCTGCCAAGCTAACACCTTCCACTGATTTGGCCCTGCAGATTTTTTAGGTGGTGAACTGGCTGTGTGTGCACAGAATGCCTTTTACTCACTGATGAATAACCACTGTCAAACTACTGTCCTGGCTTTTCCAAAAATGTGGAAAAAGGAGTTGTAATGGTCAACTGGGTTTAAGCATCAAAATCTCTCCATACAGAAAAGTTACCTACCTGCTATAGGTCAGAAGGCTGAAATGGCATAAATATCCAGGCAGTCAAAAGCCCAATCATCTTGTTACAGGCAAAATAAGGCTTTGGGAGTGATCCAAAGAAATCTGAATGAAAAATTCTTGGTCAGAAAATTTGAGCTGAAAATAAGCCCTACTCTTTTTTGGTGAATATTTTGAGTGTGTGCCTGGAAGTCATGGGTGACTTCTGGCAACTCCTAGTGGGGCTTGGACATTACAGAAAGGTGGGCTTGCTACTGTCTGCATCTGTGTCCTGGCCCTGGTATTCCTTGGAAGTCTCCCATCCCAAGTACTTGCTACGGTTGGCCCTGCTTAGCTTCCGAGATCTGACAGGATTGGGCTTGCCTGGGCTATCCAGGTCAGAAAAACCCCTACTTTTAAGATGAAAGTTGCTATACTTTGGGGATATGCAGAGTGGTTTTTGTCACTACTTGATAACCACACACATCTCCTTATCCCCCCCCCCATCAAATCACAGCCGACTTATGGCAAAGCCACAGGATTTTCAAGGCATGAGATGAGCAGAGGTGATCTGCCATTGCCTGCATCTGCACAGCAAGCAACCCTAGGCTTCCTTGGCGGTCTCCCATCCAAGTACTAACCAGGACTGACCCTACTTAGCTTCCAAGCTCTGATGAGATTGAGTGAGCTAGCCTGGGCTGTTGTTAGGGAATGAATTTATTGATGCGAGGGTGTGAGTTGCAGGCAATTGTAACTCAGGAATCTTGTTTTAGTAATTAATACACTGCAATTTCCCTCCCACAGAAATTCTAGGTGGGATCCAAGCCTCTGTCTGTTTATGGCTCTACACTCCAAGTGGGATGGAGGCCATCTGGCTGGAGGTCCAGAGTCCTGGTGCCACTGGTGGTAGAATTAATCTACCTCTCCTCTCCTAGTTGGTACTGGAGTCCCGGAGGCACACACACTAGCTTTTATAGCTAGGGTGGGCTTTCTCCAGTCTCTATGATGTTTTTACCATAGAAACTAAGAGTAAAAAAATCATACAGTGTTTATTTCACAGGAACTAGAAGATAACTGGTCAAGATGTTTTTATATACTTAAAACTGACCTGGCAAAGATCCACAAGCTAAGTTAAAAGGATGTCAAAATTAATAGGGTTGAATAAAAGTTCAGTTGTATTTTCCATGCAAAATAGATCTAAGTTTTTAAGGGTGCTTTTATAGCAAAGAATAATTGTTAAAAGGTAAATGTCTCTGAATGTTTATATCTGAAAATGAAAGCTTATGGATAACATGTTTCTAAATATTAAAAAGAAGAAAACTAGTAAAGGTTTTAATTTTTTAATAAAGAATTGTGTTTAAAGCTAACAAGAGCAAAAGCTGGAAAATGACCAACAGCTGACCAGGTGTGTGGGGAAAGTCCAGCCAAAATAGAAGACATTAATCATGGGCAGGTCAGTTAAAGAAGCTAATTAAAAGGGTCAATTAAAAATGCAGAACTTGTATTATAAAAGGGTGACTCCAGCTGGTTAAAATAAAATAACACATCTTGATGAAATAAGGAAATTTAAAGGTTTAAATATTCTGTAAAAATTCCCTGATGAACCAAAAATGAAGAATAATGTGTGATACAATGTATCTACAGAAGCTTATGTCATAGGCTATTTTGAAACGCTAAAAGAATACATGTAAAGGGTTTAATTCTTTAGAATGTCATTTTAATTATATATGTTTTTATATTTTTGTATACCCTTAGTGAAAATAAGCCTATAAAATGCTTTAAGAATATTGTTATACTTTTATATGGATGTATTAATGTAAAAGAACCATTTTTGTAATGAAAACATCTAAGTTTTGTACTAAAAATGAACCTCGCAACCCTGCTGCCCAGTGTCCCATTATGTTCCCCCCCATAAATTTACTGGCTACAGGCCTGATTTTTTCATACATGCAATATTAAAGCAGATGCTAGGCTGAGTGAAACTGGGTACTCTTGTTTCTATTCCAGCTCCCTTCCCATGCTCCCTTCCCGAAGCAAATTTCCATATGCAGGTATGCAGAAGAAATCCCAAAATGGATTTTCTGCCCAGTGTTCTCACTTGTCACTGTGGGCATCAAAGAGGAAAGAAAATAGAAGGAAGTGCAGGGCCCAGGAAGAACAGATGATAATGAATTTGGGCAGTGAAGGGTAACTTGGCTTGGCTTGAGATCCCTCTTGCAGCTTCCATTCCCTCATTCCTACCTAGGCACTCTGGACAGAAATAGTGAGCATGTTTCCCCTTGTAACTCCACAGCAAAAGCAGCTAGAGATGGGGTCTCACCGTTTCAAGAGATCCCAAGACTAGATTTTGTTGTTGTTGTTCATCATTTTAGCTCTTAGCTCTGGAAAGACTGCTGTGCAATGCAAATCCAGCAGTACAAATAATGACCTTAGAAGGATGTAACTATATAGGATTGCACTGCAGATGGCTTAACTAGATGTCATCTCTGAACTGTAGCAGACTTTGATGCCTGCTTTTTTGTTCCAAACTGTCAGACTCAAACATCAGAATAGCCACATGACAAGACTCCTCATACTTGCTTAGTAATATTTATGATGCCTGCTTTTTTGTTCCAAACTGTCAGGCTCAAATACCAGAATAGCCACATGACAGGACTCCTCATACTTGCTTAGTAATATTTACGTACAGGGATCATTTCCTGCAGGAGTGCACAGGAGCAGAGCTCCGGCAGTAAAGAGCCCAGGGGGCAAGCACATGCAAAAAGTCCCGCCCTCTGCTCCCAGCAGCCCTCAGTCAGAGCAAGAAGCAGCCAGCTCAAAACAGTCCAGTGGCAACTTTAAGACCAAGTTTTATTCAGGTACAAGCTCTCCCTCCTCTGCGAGGACAGATTTGCACGTTCCCCCCCCCCCCAATAGCTAGCAATCCAAAACAGTTCAGTGGAGCCTGAGCGGTGGGTGTTGCCTTCTGACACACTTTCAGTGATGGCAGGGTGTGTGGCATATGCAAATAAGTTACGCTAATGAGTTATGGTAATGAGCTCCTGCACCTCTTTTTCTACGAAATGACCCGTTTATGTATATAATTTCATAGTTTATTTACTTCATTTATACCCCTTTTCTGCCCAATAGAGACCCAAAGCAGTTTAGATTGTTCTATGATCCTCCATTTTTATCCTCACAACCACCTTGTGAAACAGAGGTTAGGCTGAGACTATGACTGTCCCAAGGTCAACCAACAAGCCTCCATAGCAGAGTGGGGATCTGAACCTGGAGTCTCCCAAGTCTGGCACTATAACTACACCACACTGGCTCCTTACTGTTTTTGTGACCCCATTTACACTGCTATTTGATTTACACATACACACATTAACATTATAATGTATTATGTGCCTGTGTGTAACCTCCAATAAACAAACATGATTATTTAACATAGAGAACAATCCTAAATCCCATTTTATTTGATAGAGTTTACTCTCATGAAAGTGTTGTTAGGATTGCAGTCTTACTGACAAGTATCAAAATCACTAGAATTTTCTGGTTCCTAAGCGAGGAAGAGGAAATCTTAGTATTTAGTAGTCATATGATACAAAGGTTCCAGGGATATGATTGCAGAGAGCAGAAAAGAAGTAACACACAATGAGCAAATGCCTGGCATCATTTCAGTCAAATTTTGCTGCAGAGAGTCTTGGAACATCATAGTTCCAAGCCACTTGTGCTTCAGTTCTTAAACCACTTATTCCAAAGTAGTTCTTATGGAATTACACACGTGGTTTAAATAT